ACTTGGTTATCTTCAATGTTCAAATGTTTTGTAACCCTCTTCCACCAAACATCATTCGCCAAGCATGCTTCTCCCACTGGAATAGGAGCAATCCTTGAACATTTTGGTAGACCAGTGATCTGCATTTCACATCGAATTCCAAAAGCTCAGCGTGGGGTATTCTCAGATGCACCAAGAAGCTCTTGCTGTATATTGGGCTGTCAAACGGCTCCATAAATATCTTTTTGGATCAAACTTTACCGCCGCCACTGATCACGAGGCTTTTTAAGTTCTTGTATCATCCAAAAACTCTCTGGCGTATCCATCTGCCGCGATGGTTCCGCAGTGGGTTATTGCACTGAGTTCCTATACCAACACAATATTTCATCATAGTGCGAAAATGATTCCCCATGCTGACTTCTTGTCAAGAATTCCGTCATGTGACTCTGATTGAAACAGTTCAGATTGTCTGTTGATTCAGCCACTACCAGTCAAGCGGGATGCGCTTGTTGCTGACGCTAAAAGATATTTTGCTCCCGTTTTTCTGCACTGCGACGTAGCTGGACGCAACAAAAACGACGCCGACTTCCTGCATTTTACTGTCGCTGCGAAAGCTTATCCATTACTCCGGACGGTTTGCTGGGTTTTGAGGATAGAGTTGTCATTCCACCGACTCAGCGAGCGGCTGTTCTTGGAGATTCACGCTCTGGTCATTTGGGTGTTGACAAAATGAAATCCCTTGCACGCTTGTCATGCTGGTGGCCGGAACTGGATGTTGATATCAAGCATACTGCTAAGCATTGTGTTAAATGTGTACATAAGATTCATAACAAGTATTCACAGTGGTATCTGTGGCCAGTTACTTGTGAAGCACTTCAACGAGTTCATGCCGACTACTGTGGTCCTTTTCTCGGCAAATACTATGCTTTAGTCGTTATTGACGCATATTCACGTTGACCTGAAGTTTTTCTAACTACGTCTCTAAGCGTCAAGTGCACGCAGCGAGCATTGAGGAAAGTGTTCCGCCATGGAGGTGTGCCACCTGCTTTGGTCACTGACAACGGCACACACTCCACTGCAAAATTCCTCGAGGAATAGTTAAAAGGTCTTGGATGTCGACATCTGTTTACTGCTCCGAAACATCCTCAGTCGAATGAACTTGCTGAGAATTTTGTCCGAACACTGAAATCTGCCATTATTTCACTCTCTCCTAATACTTTTGTGGAATGCCGTTCGTTCCGTTACTGGGAAGAGTTCCGCGCTTCTATTTAAGTCTCGTTCGTTGCGTACAAGTGCCCAAACGGCTGATATTACATTTTTCAAGGGTAATGATTTAAGACCTGCCACGGGAATAGTACTTTCATCAAATGGCAAACGGATGGTCACCATTGTCGACTGGAGTGACCCCTCTTGCCATCGGAGACACGTTGACCAGGTTGAGTTCAATACCAAAGGTCACTCTGTTAACGGCAACAAATACTAATGAATCCTTTGTAGATGATCTTATGGTATCTGAACAAAACGTTGTATCTGGAGAACGCATTGCCTGTAAAGAATCTGAGGTTCCCAGTCCGAGAAGATCCGAAAGGTTGCGATCCAGACCACCACTGGACTATACACATCCACACGCTCATTCAAGGTGTGGCGGATGTGATGAACATGACTGATACTCTATTCATTGCTCCATTCATTATTCGCTTGTTTTAATATTCCATATGCTGTACATACACGCCAATTCGAATACATACGTGCGTTGATCTGAATTCTGGATTTCTAGTTCGTCTGGTCACTCCGATATACGTGCGAAAATTGATTCTCATATTACATTTTTGCACCAGTCGCCGATTTCTGTTCAAAACTGTCGAATTTGGTTCATAGCGTACACTGTAAATGTTCTTATCGTCATACCACACTCCAGTTCCCGTCTGGTCCGAAACCCATGCCGATCTCAAATCTTTGCCACCCTATCCGTGTTACTTGTATTTCACCATTTCCAATATCTGCTGCGTTCGGGTATTTTGTCCAGGCCCTACTTGCGTGGGACAATGCAAGTTTCATATGACCATCCCAATTTCACGCATCGCTCGGTACCCGCAACTAACGCCCGCTGTTCCTCCCCTCCGGGTGTACTAATATGAAACAGTACGCTACTTCCGTAGGTTGAAATAAACGACACTGCATCAGTCGTTGTGTTGGCCGTTGTCAACTCCACCCGATTTGTGCGTCACGAAGGAAGGGATCCCGACCGGAAAAATAAAAGAAAAAACAGCAACAAGACTGCACATGTCAGCCTAACAACCTAAATCACGACGTCCTTCACGGGATTGTCCAGAAGCCGAAGTACTTCAGCGCAGTGATGGTACGGCGCTGGAATACCCGGTTTGATAGCATACCCGCAATTGTTCCCCTCTTACTTTGTCCAGGCCCTCTCGCTCACTGGTTCCCATACCGACAACCACAATCAACCTTCATT